GTCCCCAACCCGGGATGTCCCCAACTGACCCCTGGAGTGACCCCTCGAGTGACCCCTGGATGTTCCCAACTGTCCACACCATGATGGACATTGGGTTGCCTGGACAGTGGTCCGCGGAGTGGTCAAGGGGTGGAGTGACCACTGGAGTGACCACTGGAGTGACCACAAGTGTCCCCAAACCGGGATGTCCCCAATAGTTCCCAAATATCCCCACCATGATGGACATCGGGTTGACTGGACAGCGGTCAGTGGAGAGGTCAAGGGGTGGAGTGACCACTGGAGTGACCATAACTGACCCCTGGAGTGACCACAACTGTCCCCAAACTGGGATATCCCCAACTGACCCCTGGAGTGACCACTGGAGTGACCACTGGAGTGACCACAACTGTCCCCACCAGCACGGACATCGGGTTGCCTGGACAGTGGTCAGCGGAGTGGTCAAGGGGTGGAGTGACCACTGGAGTGACCACAACTGTCCCCAACTGTCCCCAAACTGGGATGTCCCTAACTGATCCCTGGAGTGACCCCTGGAGTGACCACAACTGTCCCCACCATGATGGACATTGGGTTGTCTGGACAGTGGTCAGTGGAGTGGTCAAGGGGTGGAGTGACCGCTGGAGTGACCCCTGGAGTGACCCCTGGAGTGACCACAACTGTCCCCAAATGTTCTCAACTCGGAATATCCCCAACTGACCACTGGAGTGACCCCTGGAGTGACCACAATTGTCCCCAAATGTCCCCACCATGATGGACATCGGGTTGCCTGGACAGTGGTCAGCGGAGTGGTCAAGGGGTTGGTCAAGGGGTGGAGTGGCCACTGGAGTGACCACAAGTGTCCCCAAACTGGGATATCCCCAACTGTCTCCCAGAGTGACCACAACTGTCCCCAACTGTCCCCACCATGATGGACACTGGGTTGTCTGGACAGTGGTCAGTGGAGCGGTCAAGGGGTGGAGTGACCACTGGAGTGACCAAAACTGACCCCTGGAGTGACCACAACTGTCCCCAACTGTCCCCACCATGATGGACATCGGGTTGCCTGGACAGTGGTCAGCGGAGTGGTCAAGGGGTGGAGTGACCGCTGGAGTGACCACTGGAGTGACCACAAGTGTCCCCAAACCGGGATATCCCCAATAGTTCCCAAATATCCCCACCATGATGGACATTGGGTTGACTGGACAGCGGTCAGCGGAGCGGTCAAGGGGTGGAGTGACCCCTGGAGTGACCATTACTGACCACTGGAGTGACCACAACTGACCCCAATTGTCCCCAACTCAGGCTGTCCCCAACTGACCCCTGGAGTGACCCCTGGAGTGACCCCCGGAGTGACCCCTGGAGTGACCCCTGGAGTGACCCCTGGAGTGACCCCCGGAGTGACCCCTGGAGTGACCCCTGGAGTGACCCCCAGAGTGACCCCCGGAGTGACCACTGCTGACCCCTGACCGCTCACCCTGGACTGACCCCTGGAGTGACCCCCAGAGTGACCCCCAGAGTGACCACCGCTGCCCCCTGACCGCTCACCCTGGACGCTGACTTTGGTCTGAGGGTCAGTGTTGGGGACGATGTCCGAGATGTCCGCGGCCTTGACCTTCTCCTCCTGGACCCCGTCTGCGGCCAGAGTGGACATGAGTGACCATGAGTGACCACAAACCCAAATGACCCCAACCCCGAGTGACCACAACCTTGAGTGGCCACGAAGCTGAGTGACCACAACCCAAAATTACCCCAAACCTGAGTGACCACAACCCCGAGTGGCCACAAAACTGAGTGACCACAACCCCAAATGATCCCCAAACCCCCAGTCGGGGTGGACATGAGTGACCACAAGTGACCACAAACATGAGTGACCACAACCCCAAATTACCCCAAATCTGAGTGACCACAAGCCAGAGTGACCACAACCCTGAGTGACCCCCAAACCCCCAGCCAGGGTGGACATGAGTGACCACAACCCTGAGTGACCACAAACATGAGTGACCCCAAACACGAGTGACCACAACCTTGAGTGGTCATGAACCAGAGTGACCACAACCCCAAATGACCCCACCCCTGAATGACCCTCGAGTGACCCCAAAATGACCCCAAAATGACCCCAAATGACCTCAAAGTGACCCCGAGTGACCCTGAGATGACCCCAAATGACCTCAAAGTGGCCCCAAATGACCTCAAAATGACCCCAAAGTGACCCTGAAGTGACCCCAAATGACCCCAAACCCAAATCACCCCAAACCCGAGTGACCACAACCCCGAGTGACCACAACCTTGAGTGACCCCACCCCCAAATGACCCTGAGATGACCCCGAATGACCCCAAATGACCCCAAAGTGACCCCAGAGTGACCCTGAATGACCCCAAATGACTCCAAAATGACCCCAAATGACCCCGAAGTGACCCTGAATGACCCCAAATGACCCCGAGATGACCCCTCGGTGACCCCGTGGTCAGTGTCCGGCCCCAGGCCGCGGTCACTCACCGACCCCTTTGTTCTGCGGGTCCAGCTCGATGATCTTGACCGTCTTCTCCAGCCGCATCCCCTCGGGCTGACCAGGCCAAAGTCCAGCGGTCAGTCCGGCTCCGGACCCGGCTCCGGACCGGCCGGACGAGGCCTCCCAGTGTAAACCAGTGACCAGAGTGACCACTGGAGGGGACGGCCGCGCTCGGCCACTCGGATGGACAGAGCAGGGCGGAGTGGACACAGAGACCCGGGTGATGGTCACTCAGGTGACCCACTGGTCAAGTGACCACTCAGGACACCCACTGACCATTCCCGGCCACTCGGATGGACAAAGGGGTCATCATGATGATCATTCAGGTGACCAACTGACCACTCTCGGCCACTTGGATGGACAAAGCGGGGTGGAGTGGACAGAGCGGTCATTGCGATGGTCACTCAGGTGACACACTGGTCAAATGATCAGTCAGGTGACCAACTGACCACTCTCGGCCACTCGGATGGACAAAGCGGGGTGGAGTGGACATAGCGGTCATTGCGATGGTCACTCAGGTGACCCACTGACCACTCTCGGCCACTTGGAGGGACAAAGCGGTCATTGTGATGGTCACTCAGGTGACCCATTGACCACTCTCGGCCACTTGGATGGACAAAGAGGGGTGGAGTGGACACAGTGACCGGGGACACCGTGATGGTCACTCAGGTGACCAACTGGTCAAATGACCACTCAGAGGGACAGAGCGGGGTGGAGTGGACAGAGCGGTCATTGTGGTGGTCACTAAGGTGACCCACTGGTCAAGTGACCACTCAGGTGACCCAACTGACCACTCTCGGCCACTTGGATGGACACAGTGGTCATTGTGATGGTCACTCAGGTGACCCACTGGTCAAAGGACCACTCAGGTGACCCACTGACCACTCTCGGCCACCCGGATGGACAAAGAGGGGTGGAGTGGACACAGTGACATCATCATGATGGTCACTCAGGTGACCAGCTGACCACACCCACCCACCACCCCCACCCCAACACCAAACTGACCACACCAACCCGTGGCCACCACGATGACCACTCAGGTGACCAACTGACCATTGTTGACCACCAACCCTGCACCCCAACACCAAACTGACCACACCAACCCCTCCGGACACCACAGCGGTCACTCAGGTGACCAACTGACCACACCAACCCCACACCCCATCACCAAACTGACCACACCCACCCATCCGGACACCGCAGCGGTCACTCAGGTGACCAACTGACCACTTTTGGCCACCAACCCCCCACCCCAACACCAAACTGACCATTTCCACCCTGCCGGACACTGCAGCGGTCACTCAGGTGACCAACTGACCACACCAACCCCGCACCCCAACACCAAACTGACCACACCCACCTGTGGCCACCATGATGACCACTCAGGTGACCCACTGACCACTCTCGGCCATTCGGATGGACAAAGAGGGGTAGAGGTGGACACAGTGACCGGGGACATTGCAATGGTCACTCAGGTGACCAACTGACCACTGTTGACCACCAAACCCACAACCCCATCACCAAACTGACCACACCAACCCGTGGCCACCATGATGACCACTCAGGTGACCCACTGACCACACCTGACCACCAACCCTCCACCCCAACCCAAAACTGACCACACCAACCTGTGGCCACCATGATGACCACTCAGGTGACCCACTGACCACTCTCGGCCACCAGGAGGGACAAAGCGGGGTGGAGGTGGACACAGTGACCGGGGACATTGCAATGGTCACTCAGGTGACCAACTGACCACTGTTGACCACCAACCCTCCACCCCAACACCAAACTGACCACTCCCACCCCTCCGGACACTGCAGTGGTCACTCAGGTGACCAACTGACCACACCAACCCTGCCCCCAACACCAAACTGACCACACCAACCCCTCCGGACACCGCAGCGGTCACTCAGGTGACCAACTGACCACTGTTGACCACCAACCCCCCACCCCAACACCAAACTGACCATTCCCACCCTGCCGGACACTGCAGCGGTCACTCAGGTGACCAACTGACCACACCAACCCCCCACCCCAACACCAAACTGACCACACCCACCCTGCCGGACACCACAGCGGTCACTCAGGTGACCAACTGACCACACCAACCCCTCCACCCCAACACCAAACTGACCACTCCCACCCCTCCGGACACCGTGATGGTCACTCAGGTGACCAACTGACCACACCAACCCTGCCCCCAACACCAAACTGACCACACCAACCCCTCCGGACACTGCAGCGGTCACTCACCACCACCCTGAGCTTCTTCTTGACCCCGTCGCCCAGGTACTGCGGCCCTCGGCCGTCCGGCCCCACTCGGACAGCGGCCTTGACCTCGATGTCCAGCTGTCCGGTCTTGAGGGGGACGATGACGAAGGGGACGGCGCGAGAGGACTCGGCTCGGACCTTGAGCACCTGCTGGAATCGCCGCTTGGCCGAAGAGGCGCTGCAGATGTCCGGGTTGTGCAGCAGCTCCACACGCACCTGGACACCGGACAGTGGTCAGTTAGAGTGGCCGGAGTGGCCGGAGTGCATGGAGGGGTCACTCAGGCACATTGGAAGGGCTGGAGTGGACAGAGGGATGGAGTGGTCACTCTAAATGGACAGAGGGGCTGCAGATGTCCGGGTTGTGCAGCAGCTCCACCCACACCTGGACAGTGCATGGAGTGGTCAGTTGGAGTGGCTGGAGTGGTCACTCGCAGTGTTTGGAATGGGCTGAGGGGATGGGGTGGTCATTCAGAGGGACAGAGAGGATGGAGTGGTCACTCCAAAGGGACGGAGGGACTGCAGATGTCCGGGTTGTGCAGCAGCTCCACACGCACCTGGACACCGGACAGTGGTCAGTTGGAGTGGCCGGAGTGGCCGGAGTAGTCACTCGAGGGGCCAGAGTGGACAGAGGGATGGAGGGACAGAGAGGATGGAGTGGTCACTCAAGGGGGATGGAGGAGTTGGAGTGGTCATTCAGAATGATGGAGGGATGGAGTGGTCACTCTAAAGGGACAGAGTGGCTGCAGATGTCCAGGTTGTGCAGCAGCTCCACCCGCACCTGGACACCGGACAGTGGTCAGTCAGGGGCCGGAGTGGCCAGAGGTACAGCGGTCATTCAGGGGAATGGAGGGACAGAGGGATGGAGTGGTCAGTCAGGGGTCAGAGGATGGAGTGGTCACTC